TTTGTTTCATTTCCTAATTGCCTAAAGAATACATAGCCCTTTGACATATTGTTACCTCATGCACTTACTGCAGAGCGTCAAGGACTGAAGCCTTCAGTATGGATTGAGGCTCAATGTCAAGAAGACACAGATTCTCACCACTGGACCAATTGGTAGCATCAGGATGGATGGCGAAGAGATTGAGATTGTTCACAGCTTCAGTTTTCTCGGCTCCACGGTCAACACTCTTGGCACCAGTAGTCAGGAAATCAAAAAACGTATTGTGATGGGAAAGTCTACGGTTAGGTACCTCTCCAAAATACTCAAGAGCAACAATGTCTCTCTGGAGACTAAGGTCCTCCTGATACAGGCCATGGTTTTTGCAATCACTTGTTATGCATCAGAGAGTTGGACAATGACTAGGAAGGATAGAAGGAGAATTGATGCCTTTGAGCTGTGGTGCTGGAGAAGAGTATTGAATGTACCATGGACTGCCAAGAAAACGAACAGATTCATTGTAGAGAGGATTAAACCAGGCGGCTCCTTGGAGGCAAGGATTCTGGGGCTTCGCCTGACATACTTTGGATATGTTATAAGGAGAAACAGGTCTTTGGAGAGGGACATCATGCTGGGTAGAGTGATGGGACAGCGCAGGAAGGGAAGACCCTCTATGAGGTGGATTGATTCAATGACTGGGGTACTCAGGATGGGTGTGTCAGAGGCAATGAGATTGGCACAGGATAAAGCATGGTTTAGGGCTGTTGTACATGGGGTTGCTATGAGTCGCAAATGACTCGACGGCACATAACAACAACAGCAACAACCATCAAGTCGGAAATGACTCAGCTGAAATCCAACATGTTTTCAAAAGTGGTAAATCTCATGTGAGAAGATTTCCCTCTCTCCTCTCTCATGTTTTGCATTTTGTGTGTTTACTTACAAAAGCTAATTATTCCCTATTGGTGGCAACACCTGTCACTCTGTCATGGATTAATGAATTATCCTTATTTCAGTTCATGAGAGAAAGCAGAGGAGCTTGTTTTGAGTATTTGTTATTTATTTATAAATCTGTCCATTTTGAATACTGTGCTCACATTAAAAATACTGGACTCAAGCAAGATCCACACCTCACTCCGTATACAAAAGCCAACTCAAGGTGGATCATGGATCTAGGACTAAAACCAAGGACTATAAACTTCATTCAAAAAAAGCTTGGAAGAACTCTAGTAGTCCTAACCCACAAAATAAACAGTCTTCCAAGTGTCCTGAAAAATCTACAACCAGGAGAAGATAAAATAGATGAATGGGACCTTCTAAGAATCAAATCCCTATGCACATCCAAAAACTTCTCCACCAGGGTAAAAAGGGAAGACAAAGACTGGGAAAAAGTATTTGGTAATGACATGTCAGAAAAGGGACTTATGTCTAGAACTTATAAAATACTTGAGCACCACAAGAAGATAAATGTAAATGATCCAATTGAACAATGGGCACAGGATATGAACAGACACTTAACCAAAGAATACATTCAGAAAGCCAACAAGCACATGAAGAAATGTTCAAAATCCCTGGCTCTAAGAGAGATGCAAATCAAGACAACTATACGATATCATCTCACCCCAGTCAGAATAGCAAAATTTAACAGAACATCAAGCAACAAATGCTGGTGAGGTTGTGGAGAAACTGGAATCCTTATTCATTGTTGGTGGGAGTGTAAAATGGTGCAACCACTGTGGAAGGCTGTATTGTGCTTTCTCAAAAGTTGCAAATAGAGATACCACTTGACCCAGCAATTCCACTACTGGGAATATATCCCAAAGAGACCATAACTGACATCCAAGCAGATATATGCACACCCATGTTTATCTCGGCTCTGTTCACAATAGCAAGGAGTTGGAAACATCCCAGGAGCCCCTCAACAAATGAATGGATAGAGAAGCTGTGGTATATCACACAATGGAATACTACGTGCATTGAAAAACAAGGAACTCATGCAATATTATTCAAAATGGGTAAGCCTGGAGGACATTATGCTGAGTGAAATATCTCAGTTGCAAAAGGACAAATACTGCATGGTGCCACTGCTGTAAAATGGGACTGATATCAGGGTTGGGGTAAGACTGAGAAAAACTGGATAGATTGTGTATGCTGCACTGAAACAGATAGGGGAGTGAATAATTTAAAAGCAATGTATGATAGGATGTATGATTATCACAGGAGTCCACAATTAAGGTTGCATAGTGGAATGTACTTGGGGTGGTGGGAGCGGTGCAGGAGGATTGTGTACCAGGGAGGAAGTGTTTCTTTTACTTTTGAAAGAGAGGAGTGAACTGGAGGTGGGGAGGGCTGGGTGGGGAGAGAAGTGCAGCAATCAATGAATGGAAATCCAAAATCTCTGTAAATATTGAAAGGAAGGGAGGAAGAGAGGAAGAACGAAAAGAGAGGAGAGGAGAGGAGAGGAGAAGAGAGAAAAGAGAAGAAAAGAACAGAAAGGAAAAGAAAAGAAAAATACTAGCCTACAGGAGACCTCAAGGCTTTCTGGGTCATGTCCAACTTTGCCATCTGGCACTGACTGGTAATGCTCTGGCCTCTTGTGGCCTCCTTACTACCACTAAGAGAGTTGGTGCACCCAGAGCTGTGCAAACCTAGCGCATTGGTCTGCTATAGCAGCTGTTGCTCCTTGGGCTGTGGAATCATACACCTCCAGTGTCTACAGCTCTCATCCTGTGCTGCAGCCCCTGAAACATCCAAAGGCTGCAGTCCATGTGCAGGGTCAGGAGGCCCTAACTGCTTCCATGTTGGCTGCAGCACCCCCACAAGAACAAAAGCAGATGCTGGGAGAACATTTGTTCTCATTCATCCAAACAATGCATTCAGCCCTCGCTGGAAAGATTACAGGGATGTTGCAGGAGATCAACAATGTTGAGCTGTTACACATGCCAGAGTGGCACGAGTTTATCTGCTCCAAGGTGGGTGAAGCTGGGGTGGGTCTACAGGCTCATCACACCAAGAAAAAAGCTGCCCAGAAGGTGGGTGCTATTGCTGCTGCCACCTCTTGTTGTTGTCATTGTTACATGCCATCTAATCACCTGCAACCCATAGCAACACTATATATAGCAGCTCTGAAGCCTACCTTGTCCTGAGCCACTCTCACTTGACTCTGACACACCAACTCCTTTGCCCCAGTTACTGTACAATCCATTAATCCAAGGTCTTTGTCTCCTGTGCTGTTCTTCCATCCTTCCTAGCCCTTTTCCAATGACCGGTTCCTCCCAGCCCCATGCCCAAATTATATGAGAGAGAACGCTTCAAGATCCTAGCCCCCAAGAAGAAACTTTTTCTGTCAGCTGGAGCTTCAGAATCCTTGCCAACAATGAGCCTGGTTTTACCCTCTCCAGGACAAACCTGTTTATTCTCCTAGCAGTCCATGGTATATTTAACACTCTTCTCCAGAACCACAGTTCAAAGGCATAAAATCTTATTCTATCATCCCTAGTCATTGTCCAGCTTTCTGATACATAGCAAGACATTGCGAAGACAGTGTCCTGGATCAGGTGCACCTTAGTCTTCAGACTGATACTGTTGCTCTTAAGCACTCTGGAGAGGTCCCTGACAACAGACTTTCCCAAGTGCAATTTGTCTTTTGATTTTTCTGACTTCTGGTATCAAGAGTGTTGATGGTAGAGCCAAGCAAATGGAAGCTATTAACAATCTCAATCTCTTCGGCTCTGGTGGCCTAGTGATAAGCTTCACTGAAATCCCAAAGGCACACAGTTCAAAGCCACGAGCTGCTCCACAGGAGAAACATGGGTAATCTCCTCCCATGTGATTAACTGCCTCTAAAAACCCACTGGAGGGTCAAGTATGGGTTGGTATGACTCAGATACATAGCAACAACAATTAACACACATATTAAGTGGCAAAGAATAGAGCAGGGTAAGCAACTCGATGGCACATAACAGCAACAACAACAATTAAGTGATAAAACACTCTTTATCTCTTCTTCTTTATCCATGTCCCTCCCCTTTACTTAACTTTTTCCATGGGTAATATTTTTTCAGTTATTTGAAAGCTGTCTTAAAATCTTTAGCTAACTGTTCACAATAGCAAGGAGTTGGAAACAACCTAAGTGCTCATCAACAAACAAATGGATAAAGAAGCTGAGGTATATTCACACAATGGGATACTATGCTGCATTGTAAAGCAAAAAACTCATGCAATATTATTCAAAATGGGTGACCCTGGAGGACATTATGCTGAGTGAAGTATCTCAGT